TATTTTGTTTTCCTTCCTCTCTACATATCCAAACCACCTCAGCAACCCCTCCTCAGCCCTCTGGATAATAGCTTTGGTAATATTGCACCTCCTCCTAATTTCCAAACTACGAATTCTCTGCATTTTATTCACACCACACATTGCCCTCAAACATGACATCTCTACTGCCTCCAGCCTTCTCCTTGTTGCAACATTCACCACCCATGTTTCACACCTATGTAAGAGCGTTGGTATAACTATACTCTCATACATTCCCCTCTTTGCTTCCATGGACAAAGCTCTTTGTAAAAATGCACCACTCACCTTTTTCCTCTCATCAGCTCTATGATTCACTTCATCTTTCACAAACCCATCTGCTGGCATGTCCATTCCTAAATATCTAAGTACATTCACCTCCTTCATACTTTCTTCCTCCAATCTGATATCCAATCTTTCATCACCTATTTTTTTTTGCTATTCTCATCATCTTACTCTTTCCTATAATCACTTTTAATTTTCTTCTTTTACATACCCTACCAAACTCATCCACCAACCTCTGCAACTTCTCTTCAGAATCTCCCAAAAGCACAGTGTCATCAGCAAAGAGCAACTTAGACAACTCCCATTTTGTGTTAGATTCTTTATCTTTTAACCCCACACCTCTTACCAAGACCCTCGCATTTACTTCTCTTACAACCCCATCTATAAATATATTGAACAACCATGGTGACATCACACATCTTTGTCTAAGGCCTACCTTTACTAGAAAATAATCTCCCTCTCTCCTACATACTCTAACCTGAGCCTCACTATCCTCATGAAAACTCTTCACTTCTTTCAATAACCTACCTCCTATACCATACATTTGCAACATCTGCCACATTGCCCCCCTTATCCACCCTGATATAAGCCTTTTCCAAGTCCATAAATACCACAAAAACCTCTTTCCCCTTATCTAAATACTGTTCACCTATATGTTTCACTGAAAACACTTAGTCTACACACCCCCTACCCTTCCTAAAGCCTCCTTGTTCATCTGCTATCTTACTCTCCGTCTTACTCTTAATTCTCTCAATAATAACTCTACCATATACTTTACCAGGTATACTCAACAGACTTATTCCCTTATAAGATTTTGCACTCTCATTTGTCCTCTTTGCCTTTATACAAAGGAACTATGCATGCTCTCTGCCAATTCCTAGGTACCTTACCTTCTTCCATACAGTTATTAAATAAAAGCAATAACCACTCCAAAATTATATCCCCACCTGCTTTTAACATTTCTATCTTCATCCCATCAATTCCAGCTGCCTTACCCACTTTCATTCTACCCCCTCCCCCCATGAACTTCTCCCACACTCACAACTGACTCTTCCTCACTCCTACAAGATGTTATTCCTCCTTGCCCTATACACGAAATCACAGCTTCCCTATCTTCATCAACATTTAACAATTCCTCAAAATATTCCCTCCATCTTCCCAATACCTCTAACTCTCCATTTAATAACTCTCCTCTCCTATTTTTAACTGTCAGATCCATTTGTTCCCTAGGCTTCCTTAACTTGTTAATCTCACTCCAAAACTTTTTCTTATTTTCAACAAAATTTGTTGATAACATCCCACCCCCTCTCTTATTTGCTCTCTTTTTACATTGCTTCACCACTCTTTTAACCTCTCTTTTTCTCTCCATATACTCTTCCCTCCTTGCATCACTTCTACTTTGCAAAAACTTCTCATATGCTAACTTTTCTCCCTTACTACTCTCCTTACGTCATCATTCCACCAATTGCCTCCTGCACCCACATTCCTGTAACCATAAACTTCTGCTGAACACTAACACTACATTCTTAATCCTATCCCATTCATCTTCTACCTCATTGCCTATACTCTCACTAGCCCATCTATCCTCCAACAATTGTTTATGTTTTACCCTAACTGCCTCCTCCTTTAGTTTATAAACCTTCACCTCTCTCTTACTTTCTGACTTTATTTTCCTTGTATCCCATCTACATTTTACTCTCACTGTAGCTACAGCTAAAAAGTGATCTGATATATCCGTGGCCCCTCTATAAACATTCTGAAGTCTACTCAGCAGTCTTTTATCTACCAATACGTAGTCCAACACACTACTGTCATTACGCCCTACATCATATCTTGTATACTTATTTATCCTCCTTTTCTTAAAATATGTATTACCTATAAGCAAACCCCTCCTATACAAAGTTTAATCAAAGGGCTCCCATTATCATTTACACCTGGCACCCCAAACTTACCTACCACACCCTCTTTAAATTTTTCTCCTTTAGCATTTAGGTTCCCTACCACAATTACTCTCTCACTTGGTTCAGAAGTTCCTATCCTACACACTCAACATCTCTCAAAATCTCTCTCTCTACACTCCTCTTTTCTCCAGGTGCCTACACACTCGTAACCCACTTCTCTCATACGACCCTTATTTTAATCTACATAATCCTTGAATTTATACATTTATATTTCCTCTTCTCCTTCCATAACTGATCCTTCAACATTATTGCTACCCCTTCTTTAGCACTAACTCACCCAGATACTCCTGACTTAATCTCATTTATTTCTCCCCACTAAAACTTACCTACCCCCTTCAGCTTTGTTTCGCTTAGAGCCATGACATCCAACTTCTTTTCATTCATTACATTAGCAATCATCTCTTTCATATCATCCTCACTACAACCAATTGTAAAATATTTTTTTACAATTCTTAAAAGGACAACTAACTTTATTCAACTTAAAATATGTTGGTTTTTCCCTTACCATGAAAACTTAATTGATATGCCTTCTCTAGTTAAGAATTTTAATATCAAAGTTGTATTTAAAAATCTTGATACATTTAAAAAAAATTTTGATAAAAAATATCCCCTCAAAATGCTGACGGTCGTGTCTATAAGATTCCTTGTAAAATATATGGTAAATAAAAGGACACAAATGCAAATAATGTGACATTTTGAGGCAACGTTTTGCTCTCTAGCAACTTTGTCAAGCCGTAACGGCCTGACAAAGCTCCTGGAAAGCGAAACGTTGCCACAATAAAATGTCACATTAGTTGCACTTGTGTCCTTTTACTTAACATATTGTGGGTAATTCTACCAATATTAATATATATATGATAAAGTTTATTACGATAAAACTAGGAAAAGTCTTAAACTAAGATTAAAACAACATAAATATAGCATTAGCAGTGGACAATATTCTAATGCTCTGTTTATTTATATGAGAGATTTTAACCATCCAGTTGATTTTCGAAAGGCTGAGAAAATTACATCTAGCAGGACCATGGTCGAGAGAAATATAACTGAATCAAGTTAGATTAAAAATAGCTTAGAAAATAATATGAATATTGCTTTAGGATTATACAAATTGGATTCATTTATATATAATAAAATTTTTGAAAGAATTTAAGATACATTAGAGAAGTTAAAATCTTAAAGCTTGGGTGGAATATAAGTTGTGTCTAACAGATCCTTGACTACCTACCTACGTCATCATAAAAAAGTCGGATGGTGTAAGGTAATCGTTCGGATTTTTAACCCCGGAGGGTTAGCCACCCAGGATAACCCAAGAAAGCCAGTGCGTCATCGAGGACTGTCTAACTTATTTCCATTGTGGTCATCAATCTTGTCCCCCAGGATGCGACCCACACCAGTCGACTAACACCCAGGTACCTATTTGCTGCTAGGTGAACAGGACAACAGGTGTAAGGAAACGTGTCGAAATGTATCCACCCCGCCGGGAATCGAACCCGGGCCCTCCGTGTGTGAAGCGAGAGCTTTAGCCACACTTGGAATTTCACTATTTTTTCAGTGTTGTTCTGCACACACCCATACACACACACGTATATTATATATATATATATATATATATATATATTATATATATATATATAATATATATATATATATACTATATATATATATATATATAATCGTGCCGAATATGTAAAACTGGTCAATTAGCAAGAACTCATTTAAAATTAAGTCCTTTCTAAAATTTTATTTTGTACGTTTAAAGATATATTTTTTTCATTAATGTTGATGTAAAAAATTATAATTTTGCACCAAAAGAATCTTAGAAAACTTACCTAACCTTATTATAACAAGCAAAATTTATTTTAGCCTAATCCAACTAAATATATTTTAGATACGTTTACAATAATTTAATACTAAACAAACTCAGTGAAATATATTTTTTTCATTAGGTTCAGAATGATTTTGGCGAAATTATTGCATACACAAATTTTCACTTGTCCTATATGGCAAGATGAACGTTGCTATTTAAGCCAAGATCGCAAGTTCTGCCTATTCGGCACGACATATATATATATATATATATATATATATTATTATAATATATATATATATATATATATATATAATATATATATATATTATATAATATATATATTATATATATATATATATATCGTGCCGAATGGGTAAATTAGCAAGAACTCATTTTAAATAAAGTCTTTTCTAAAATTTTCTCTTATGCATTTAAAGATGTATTTTTTAATTTATGTTAATGTAAAATTAATAATCTTGTACCAAAAGTACCTTAGGAAACTTACCTAACCTTATCATAACAAGCGCAATTTAATTTAGCCTAATCCAGCTACAAATATTCCAGCTACAAATATTCCAGCTAAAAATATTTTAGATAAGTTTATAATAATTTAATAAACAATAAACGCAATGAAAGATAACTTTCTCGTTAGGTTCAGAATAATTTTTGCGGAATTATTGCGTACACAAATTTTCGCTCGCCCTATTCGGCAAGAAGCCCGTTGCTATTTAATCCAAAATCGCAAGTTTTACCTATTCGACACGACATATTATTTATATATATATATATATATATATATATATATATATTATATATATATATATAATATATATATATATATTATTATATATATATATATATATATATATATATATATATATATATATATATATATATATAGTTATATATATAACCCTGGATGTACTTACAAGTACTGCTTCTGGTAGCCAGTCTGATCACTGAATGGTGGTGAGACACACACGGCGCCTCACTCAACATTATACCTGCTATATCCAGAAACCTTAAGTTGCCACGTAGTCGTGAGCTGTAACTACCCCTCCCCCCCAACCTTCCTACGCACCACACGTTTCGTGCTGTAACTTACTAACACTTTCTGTATTTTTCAGACGCTCTTCTTGTGTCGTATTCTGAAACCACGTTGATGAGAATTCGTCTATTGTTCTAATTTTTTTGTTTTGTTTTCGAATTTGCGACTGTTTTTCTTGCCATTTTCAATGTTAGAAATGATTCTCGACACGATCGTTGTCCTCTTACGGCAGTCACCAATAGCCTGCTTGATCACAGGACCTATAACCCCAATGGGCTTAGCTCAATTTCTTTGAAAAAAATAACGACATTAATAATAATAATAATAATAATAATAATATAATTTCAGTAATAATAATAATTTAGACTTTGCCATCAAAGTGTCTAGTTTACTGTGCATCCCACATCTATACTGTGGACGGCACCATAAAAACAAATGATACACAGAATGACCCAGGAACTGGACCCCAAAAATGTTAGCAGGAATACATCTGCATTTAGATCTGTTGCAAGCAAATTAAGGAAATTTGCTTAAAAATGCCTGGTATCTTATTTTCACTAATATGATATCTTGACATATCACATAGGTTATTATACTGTTTCTATATTCCTTAATGAGTTGACAACAGAGTACATAGTGTTCGGGATAGCGACCATGGGGCTGACCACATACTTCCCATTGGGTTTGATTATCATCTGTGTGTTTACAAAACTGCCTCTGTATAGCCCCTGTGGCTTAGCGCTTCTTTTTGATTATAATAATAATAATACAAAACTGCCAGAAATACTTGTGACCAAGCCTAAGTCTGGCTACTACAACATCAGTCAGTCTTTTCACATTGCAAGTTGCTGCATGATGAAAAATAGACACATTTGCAACATCTGGTTATCTTTAATGTAAACGTTTCGCCATCTTTTGTATATAGTTCTACTGTCTTCAAATTATGTCCTAGAATTTGTATTGATAAAGCCACTGGATGGCGAAACGTTTACCTTAAAGATACCCAGATGTTGCATGTGTGTCTTTCATCTTGTCTGCATTGTATACCAATCATGTACAGTTTGTTCCATAAACGTACTTACCTACGTTCGTGTTATAGTGGCTGATAGATGTACTCAGGCTTCTAACTGCATTCCTATAATATTCAGTTTCATTATATACTTCCCTCCTAATATTATTCATAATGCTAAACGCTGTTATTGGAGTCATTATGTGAGTCAAGAACCTTCAGTAATGACATAGAATCAGTAATAATCACAGAGTCAAAGTCAAGTTCAGTGTCATAAGTTAAATTTAGTGCCATTAGGATAGCCAACAATTCAGGTTGTAGTGAAGACGCCTATCTATTAATTCTTATGACTAACTCAACAAAAGCAGCTGCAGCCCTGTCAGTAGATTCCTGCTTGGATCTATTAGTGTATATAATAGTTAAACGAGGAGAATTTCTGGAACCGGTGCTTTTACGAGTAACAACATCAGAATGCCCTCCAGGTAGACAACAGGTAGGTTAGGTTAGGTTAGGCTATGTTAGGTTAGGTAAGGTTTGTCAGGAAACAGGGCAAGTGTTTCCTGACGCGGGTCTTAGTCATATGATGACCTGCCGCTGGAGCTTTCGGTCCCCTGACCGAGGCCTTCCACTGGCTTACAGGTCGACCCCTTTCAAATTTAACGCTATGATTATAACCATCTTACTCGGGTAGGTAGGCAGTGTGGGGCTACCCTACTGTATAAGTGTATAACATCATGGGAACACCTGCAGTGTGCAGCTACCATAGAGAAAACCCCCGTCACTGTATTGTATTTCTCACATAAGCAACTTTTATTCAAACACCTGTTACACAGCTAGCTGGGTGTCCTTGGGACAACAACAGGAACGACAGCAACAGCCTATACCAGGGCTGCTCAGCTACTACGAGCAAAGGTACACTTGGATAAGTACCTATGTATACAAAGGTCCGGATATATTTTTTTACACGCAATCATGAAAATCAACAAATCCGAGTACAGGGCAGTGTACTCATCATTGTACTCGTCAGTGTGCCTCATCGTTGTAAATCATCAGTGTACTCATCATTGTACTCATCATTGTACTCATCAGTGTACTCATCATTGTACTCCTCAGTGTACTCATCATTGTACTCCTCAGTGTACTCATTGTACTCCTCAGTGTACTCATCATTATACTCATCAGTGTACTCATTATTTTCTATAAACTTTATTTTCAGTCTTTGTCTTATAAAAATTCACAAAATATGAAGAAAAAAGAGTGGGGGAAAAAAAATGGGATTTTTTACTCATTATTAGTTTAAATAGTTTTTTTCAAACTGGAAAAAAATAATATATACCGATTAACAGAATTATATATAATAAAAAATATGCTACAACAGAATTTGAAGTTTTATTTCGAAAAGAAATCCGAATTTTAGCAAGATGAACAAGACTGATGTATGTGTGTATGACTGTAGTTTAATTGGTGTTGTATGGTGTGTGTTTTGACTGTTAGGTAAGTTGTGTTTGATGGTGTTGTTGACTGTAGGTAAGTTGTATTTTGTTGGTGTATTGTGTGACTGTAGGTAAGTTGTGTTTGTATGGTGTGTGTATGACTGTAGGTAAGTTGGTTTGTAATGGTGTGTGGTTTTTGACTGTAGGTTTAAATTGTGGTTGTATGGTGTGTGTATGACTGTAGGTAAGTTGTGTTTGTATGGTGTATGTGTGACTGTAGGTAAGTTGTGTTTGTATGGTGTGTGTGTGACTGTAGGTAAGTTTGGGGTTTGTATGGTGTGTGTTTTGACTGTAGGTAATTGTGTTTGTATGGGTGTGTGTGACTGTAGGTAAGTTGTGTTTGTATGGTGGTGTATGACTGTAGGGAATTGTGTTGTATGGTGTGTGTATGACTGTAGGTAAGTTGTGTTTGTATGGTGTGTGTGTGACTGTAGGTAAGTTGTTTGTATGGTGTGTGTGGGGACTGTAGGTAAGTTGTGTTTGTATGGTGTGTGTGTGACTGTAGGTAAGTTGTGTTTGTATTTTGGGGTGTTGGGCTGTAGGTAAGTTGTGTTGTTGTATGGTTTGTGTGACTGTAGGTAAGTTTGTTTGTATGGTGTTGTGTGACTGTAGGTAAGTTGTTTGTTGGGGTGTGTGTGACTGTAGGTAAATTGTGTTTGTATGGTGTATTTTGTGCTGTAGGTAAGTTGTGTTTGTATGGTGTGGTGTGACTGTAGGTAAGTTGTGTTTGTATGGTGTATATTTGACTCTAGGTAAGTTTGTTTTTTTGTATGGGGGTGTGTATGACTGTAGGTAAGTTGTGTTTGTATGGTGTGTGTGGGGACTGTAGGTAAGTTGTGTTTGTATTTGGGGTTTTGTGTGACTGTAGGTAAGTTGTGTTTGTATGGTGTGTGTGTGACTGTAGGTAAGTTTGTTTTTATGGTGTATATGTGACTGTAGGTAAGTTGTGTTTGTATGGTGTTTTATGGACTGTAGGTAAGTTGTGTTTGTATGGTGTGTGTATGACTGTAGGTAAGTTGTGTTTGTATGGTGTGGGGTGACTGTGTAAGTTGTGTTTGTATGGTGTTTGTGACTAGGTAAGTTGTGTTTGTATGGTATGTGTGAAATGTAGGTAAGTTGTGTTTGTATGGTTGTGTATGGACTGTAGGTAAAGTTGGTTTGTATGGTGATGTGTGACTGTAGGTAAGTTGGTGTTTGTATGGTGTGTGTGTGACTGTAGGTAAGTTGTGTTTGTATGGGTGTTGTGTGACTGTAGGTAGTTGTGTTTGTATGGTTTTTTGTGGATGTAGGTAAGTTGTGTTTGTATGGTGGGGTATGACTGAGGTAAGTTGTATTTGTATGGGTATGTGTGACTGTAGGTAAGGTGTGTTTGTATGGTGTGTGTTGATGTAGTAAGTTGTGTTTTTATGGTGTATGTGTGACTGTAGGTAAGTTGTGTTTGTATGGTGTGTGTATGACTGTAGGTAAGTTGTGTTTGTATGGTGTGTGTATGACTGTAGGTAAGTTGTGTTTGTATGGTGTGTGTGTGACTGTAGGTAAGTTGTGTTTGTATGGTGTATGTGTGACTGTAGGTAAGTTGTGTTTGTATGGTGTATGTGTGACTGTAGGTAAGTTGTGTTTGTATGGTGTTGTTGACTGTAGGTAAGTTGTGTTTGTATGTGTATGTGTGACTGTAGGTAAGTTGTGTTTGTATGGTGTGTGTATGACTGTAGGTAAGTTGTGTTTGTATGGTGTATGTGTGACTGTAGGTAAGTTGTGTTTGTATGGTGTATGTGTGACTGTAGGTAAGTTGTGTTTGTATGGTGTATGTGTATGACTGTAGGTAAGTTGTGTTTGTATGGTGTATGTGTGACTGTAGGTAAGTGTGTTTGTATGGTGATGTGTATGACTGTAGTAAGTTGTGTTTGTATGGTGTATGTGATGACTGTAGGTAAGTTGTGTTTGTTATGGTGTATGTGTGACTGTAGGTAAGTTGTGTTTGTATGGTGTATGTGTGCTGTAGGTAAGTTGTGTTGTATGGTGTATGTGTGACTGTAGGTAAGTTTGTTTGTATGGTGTTGTATGACTGTAGGTAAGTTGTGATTGTATGGTGTATGTATGACTGTAGGTAAGTTGTGTTTGTATGGTGTGTGTGTGACTGTAGGTAAGTTGTGTTTGTATGGTGTGTGTATGACTGTAGGTAAGTTGTGTTTGTATGGTGTATGTGTTACTGTAGGTAAGTTGTGTTTGTATGGTGTATGTAGTGACTGTAGGTAAGTTGTGTTGAATGTGTATGTGTGACTGTAGGTAAGTTGTGTTTGTATGGTGTATGTGTGTCTGTAGGTAAGTTGTGTTTGTATGTGTATGTGTGCTGTAGGTAAGTTGTGTTTGATGGTGTATGTGTGACTGTAGGTAAGTTGTGTTTGTATGGTGTATGTGTGTCTGTAGGTAAGTTGTGTTTGTATGGTGTATGTGTGACTGTAGGTAAGTTGTGTTTGGTATGGTGTATGTGTGACTGTAGGAAAGTTGTGTTTGTATGGTGTATGTTGTGACTGTAGGTAAGTTGTGTTTGTATGGTGTATGTGTGTCTGTAGGTAAGTTGTGTTTTTATGGTGTATGTGTGACTGTGTACTGTTGTTCTGTTATGTTAGTTTAGTGAGAGAAATAACACATCTTGCTTCTTGTTAAGTCCTGAAATCTTGGTACTAATGGAGTAACAGCCAGTGGAAGAGAGTGGTGTAGGTGCTGACTGGTCATACAGTGGTGGAGGTGTTGACTGGTCATACAG